CCCAAGAGTCCCTATACTCCTGATTTTTCTGTTCTCATTTCGGAATAAAAAAAATTCATCACTGACTGGTTTGCTTTAACTAGAATTTTAAATTGAAAAAATTAAAAAAAATTAATAATAAAAATTCTTAAATCACAGAAGAGAGTTTAAAAAGATTCGCTCTAGAAATGATGTTTTTTCTTTCATTTTTTGAAAGAACACCATAATTTTTTAAGAACATGATAAAATCATTTTATATTCTAATAAAATATGACTGAGTGGTGATTTTGTTAGGAATTCAGATATTTAGAACAGGGTGAAATTGGGGGGGGGGATTCCATTTTAAAAATTACATTTTTCGGAGACCAAAATCCATGACTTTCCATGATTTTTTCAAAAACATAGTAAAAATCATGACATTTCATGACAAATTTAGTTCAATACTGAAATTAATGACTTTCCATGATTTTTCAAGACTTTCCATGTGCGAGGATACTCTGTATAAATGATATAAAATTAATCATCTTTCGTACGTAAATTAAAAGAACAAATAGGATAACAATATTAACCTGTCGTAATAATGAAGTCAACACATTAAACATATTTTCAAATCAATTAAACACTATCAATCATTCGCAAACTAATGACTACAAAACCTAAAATTTGCTAGAAATTTCAGCTTTCAAAACATCAGAGAGATAAACAATAATCTGTTTTGAAAAATCTAGGAGGGAAACATTTTGCATCTTCTTTAAAACTCCTTTTCACTTCAAGTATTAAAAATTGCATCAATCTTAATTTCTATAATTTTCCTTTGAATTTATTTATTATTTTTTTACTACTTTTTTGTAAGAAAAATTAGTAGGATTTTAATTCCTAAAAAATCAAGTACTTTTCAAGTACCCTATGGCAGAATTCAAGGACTTTACAGGGCCCTGATTTTTTTAAACCAAATTCAAGGACTTTCAAGGTTTTTCAAGCACCGTGGGAACCCTGAACATGGTCGAAAATTTTAAAAATTGGGAAAAAAAAGCGGATTTTTGCTTTTTCGCAGAAATCTTTCATTCCTGAAAGATTATAATAGATTACCAAAAATGAGAAATGCAATCAAAATAGTAAGCAATGTTAAAAACAATACTGCTCCCATGACTATAAAACACTATAATCAAGAACAAATTATGTATGAGCTACTTAGGAAAAATTGTGGCTAATCAAACAATTATTTTTATAGTATATATGTTTTAAAGGAAATTTAAAATGCATAAACATAAAGGTAAGTTTTTTTTTTCAGCATCAGTGGCTTAAATTGGTAAATTCATCTAATTTTGAGATCTGTTTATCGTCATCAATAGGTTAATGTTATCAAAGTGTTTGTGCGCTAAAGGGATTACATAACACAGACTATTGTACTTTTTTCAAAATATATATATATATATATATATACTG